CATTACCCATTTAGGTAATATTATCAGTGCTAGAAGGAAGTGGGATTTGCAGAAAGGAGGAGGAGGAGGAGGACTGTAGGATCTTTGGTGCTCTCTGAGCTTGGTTGTTTTCTTGTAGACGTTTCATGACCCAACTAGGTAACATCATCAGTGCTTCAAGGGAGTGAGATTTGCAAAGAGGAGGAGGACATCCCTTCCCATCCAATTTGGGTTAGAATAGAAGATTGCCAATTTTGACGCCTGAAGTCTCCCTGTTTTGCTAAGACTTTAGAAAATACATACAAGATTGGATTGATTGGAGGCATTTGTACATCACCGGGAGCCATAAATCCTGATTTATAGGCCAGGATGGCAACATAGAAATCCCAAACGAAACCCACCGCAGCAAGGAAGAATAAATGATGCCAAACCCTGAATGCCAGCAGAATCAATTGGCAGAAATATGCAGAAGGTTGTGTATAATTCTTCGTAGCCCCGAAGCTGCTTCAGAAAGAAAATTGCAAGGGCTGCATTCAAAGCTGTGCACCCTGGGATGAGACGCAGGCAGCGAAACAGAGAAAAACCAAGTTTTTTTTTTTTCCGAAAGGCTAAAACATTGACAAATGCTCCCTGCTCCTAACTGTGCAACAGTGATAGAAGGTCTAAGATTTTTGCAACTTTGGTGTAACTGAGGTGCACGTGGGAAACCAGGAAAGGCTCTTGAAGGTTTCATATAAATAATAATGAGGCCTGCAAAGGCTCAGAAATAATTTGTATTTGGGAGGTTTAGAAAAAAAGGCAGCTACGTTTTCCCCGTTCCAACAAGTGAAATCTGTAACTCTCAGGGAAACAGATGAGAAAAACCACTCGTCCATCACTTTTCAGCTTCGTTTGTGGGGGTTGAAAGAGCCGGTTGTTAATGCTTGTAGTAGGAGAGGCTCTGAACTTATCAAGCCGTTACAGAAACGAGGGAGAAAAACACCTCTTAATAGCTTTGCTTGTTAATTATCTGTTTACATGAAATCGCTGGCCTCCCCTTTGTACATGAAAAGCACTGGGGAATTCATCACCGTTTGCAAGAAGGAAAAGGAATTCCTTAGCTTTGTAGATTTGAATGGAGAGAAACCACCCCTCCTAGAACAATGAAATAATTTGAGATTTTTTTAAAAAGGCAGAATATTAGATTTCCCCTGAAAAAGAAATGGAAATCTCTTTTTAATGTTTTTATTACACATTTTCCTTTATAATATATTACATTTTCCGTCTCTTTCCTTTTCCTTCCCTCCCTTCTCTCCTCTGTTTCTCTGTCCTTCCCTCCTTCCTTCTCCTCTCTTCCTCTCCACTTCCCTCTCCTTCCCTCTTTCCTTCCTCTCCCCCCTCCCTACTTCCCTCTCCTTCCTTTTCCTCTCCTTCATTCCCCTCTCCTCTCTCTTCTCCACTTCCCTCTGCTTCCCTTTCTCCTACTCTTCCCCTCCACTTCCCTCTCTCCTTTCCCTTCTCTGCTTCCCTCTTCTTCTGTCTTCTTCCTTCTCCTCTTCCCTTGGCCTTTCTCTCCTCCCTTCCTTTCCTCCACTCCACTTCCCTCTCTCCTTTCCCCTCTCTGCTTCCCTCTTCTTCTGTCTCCTTCCTTCTCTTCCCTTGGTCTTTCTCCTCTCCTCTCCTCTCCGCTTCCTGCTCTCTGTTTCCTTCTCTACTTCCCTCTTCTTCTATCCTTTCTTCTCCTCTTCCCTCAGCCTTTCTCTCCTCCTCCCCTCCCCTCCACTTCCCTCTCTCCCTTCATCTCTCCACCTCTTTCCTTCCATTTTTTTTTCTTTTCATTGCTGTATATAAATTTCCAGAAATGGAAATCTTAAGGGAGACAGAAACTCATAGCTTCAGCTCCCTGCTCCCAGCAGATATTTGGTGCCCATTGAGAAGGACTGGGCCAGCCTATCTCAAGACAAAAGACCTCCGGCTCCAGGGTGAAGGGATTAAAACATGACCCTCCAGGACATAATAGGTTTATCTATCAGCAGGGCTCACTGCATTGCAAAATCTAAGGACATTGCATCACCCAGCAAAGTTCAACCAAACGTATCTCAGACAAGCTCCTAGGATTTGCACATAGCCCCGTGGGATTCTGACAACCAATAGAATACATTTCTTGCACAGGAACAGGAAGCTCAAGGGCAAGGCCCAAAGGAAAGTATAATACCTTTCTCTCTCAACTACAGGGGGTCAGCTGCCCAGGACTTCAAACCCATGTGGCCCTGTTCACCAATAAACCATGTGCTTTGGCTTGAAAACATGCCTAAATAGGATGGCATAGAGCCAGGGTGGGTGGGCAGGCCCACTCACAATTTCCACTACCAGTTCAGGCGAACCGGTCTGAACCAGTCAAATACCACCTCTGGCCACAGCTGTTGTGGCCTGCCAGAGACCAGGAGAGCTGGCAGCAGAGTCGGCCAATGAGGAGGTTGGGGAGGAACATAGGCCAGTCCTGGGGGCTGAGGAAAGCTCAGTCAAAGGCTCTGCGTCAGTGAGGCAGACGAACAGCTGGAGCTTGTTCCCAGTGTGCGCATGAGCAGAGCTGCCAGAAAACAAGAACAACTAAGAAAGCAGGGTCAACTTGGGAGTAAAGCCACAACTTGGAGGTGATTTGCCCCTCCCATGGGAAACAAAAGAGGAGCGAATGGGGAGTGAACTTTTGCAGGAAACAATTTGTTCCTTCGGTCAGTTCAAGAGTGGAAAGTTCTATTTGTGACTATAAGAGACTCTGTGCCAAATGTTGCCTTGCCCTGCATTTGGAAGCTACAGTAGTTATCTGGCAGCTCGCCAAGTGAGATAAGGTGTGTGTGGATAAACATTCCTCTGAAAGACTGTTTGCTAAGACTTGCTGATTGTGAATGAAAGGAATTCACAGTCATGTAAATAAAAGGGGTTTTGCTGGGACCAAGACTCTGCTTCTTGCTTTTTAAGGAAGCCTGGGTCAGAACAATGGCATGCCAGCAACTGGGCCACGCAAACAAGCAAATGAAACCACAGCCACGAAATCACGGAACCGATCCCTGGTACCCCAAAGTTTGGGGGGCATTGTTGTAAGGCCTTGCTAGAGACACCTGAAGTTCTGATGAGGAGGGATAAAATGTGGGAAGGAAGGAGTAAGCAAAGATAAAACAACCTTAAAAGAAATCAATTTATTTCTTATTTAGCTCAGGGCTCTTATTAAAATCCTGATGATGAAGAAGAAATTCTTTTCTTCTTCTTCTTCTCCAAGCTAGCAATTGAAATTAGAAACCTGCAGCTTCCCCCCACCAACATCCCATTTATCCAACGGTTGGTCCATTTGGTTCGATTTGGAAAAACGGAAGAAGAATCTGCCAAATGTTTTTTTTCCATCCCTGCGTTTTTTTCATACGCATTTCTTAATCTCTGATGACAGAACGATCGTAAATGTCCTTTAAATGTTATGGAACAGGAGCGAAGTTAAACTGTACAAATGTTTTGGAATTGATGTGTTTAGCATTTAAATGGCAGGCTTTTTTTTCAGATGGTTTGATGCACGTCTATGGATCATTTATTTCTATGTCTCTTGGGTCTATTTTGAAAATATTTCCTTCCAAATGAAAAAGGAAAACAGTTTGGCAAAACTTTAGGAGGGGGTGGTGGAAATGTTGACTTATTTGACCAAGATTTAATAATATCCTTTTCCTGGAATTCTTACAGATACCTGCTGAAGACAAGATATTATTTTAATCATTGATTTAATTTAGTACTGAGCTATAAATGTAAATTCTCTCGATTCGGCTCAGCTCCTGGTGAGCTCAGTAATTATTTTAGGAGCAATGTGGAAATGGTTTTCACGGCCTTCTTCTGATTGATTTTTTTTTACATTCTACTTTGATACAACAGTGTGTTTTTTTTTATCGTAATCTCCCTCCAAGTATTAACCAAGTCTGATTCTGCCAAGTCAAGATAATGTTGGCTAGTTTGGATGAAGACAACTAAATGATATCCTGCCCACTTTGTCCCGTGGCCTTTGGCACCCAAGGAGGGAGATTCTTTCCACAATGGGTCAACTCTGGTTTGAAACCTTGACAAAATGGTCATTTTGGAGAACTTCTCTCGACTGGTGCTATTTTAACACCTGAATCAGAATCAGAATAGAGCTGGAAGGGACCTTGGAGGTCTTCTAGTCCAGCCCCCTGCTCAAGCATAAGACCCTGTACTATTTCAGAAAAATCACTGTCCAATCTCTTCTTAAAAACCTCCAGTGACAAATTTTCAGAAGGCAACTGGACTTCCTTGTTTTTTCTTTGAAGACGTTTTGCTTCTCATCCCAGAAGCTTCTTCAGCTCTGACTGGATGGTGGGGAGTGGAAGGGTTTATATTCTTTGCAGACAGCTGGTGACTTGCATCCTTTTTAGAGGGTCGTTGAGGCACTTGGAGGTTTATCTGTGTCCTCAGGGTCACCTGAGTGGTGCAAATAGTTCCTGTAGTCTACAATTTTTCTCTCTCCAGAAATCTATTCCTACTCCCATACTATTCCAAGAGTGTTCATCTCAAATTGTGTAGCTAAAAGTCTACCCTCTGATGCTTGGGAAAATAAAGTAACCCCATCTTCTTTGTGGCAGCCTCTCAAATACTGGAATACAGTGTCTGCCCTAGTCCTTCTTTCTTCCAAACTAGCCATGCCCAGTTCCTGCAACCGTTCTTCATATGTTTTAGTCTCCAGTCCCCTAATTATCTTTGTTGCTCTTCTCTGCACTCTTTCCAGAGTCTCAGCATCTTTTTTGTAATTTGGTGGCCAAAACTGCATGCAGGATTCCAGGTGGGACCTTACTAAGGCTTTATAAAGCGGTACTACTACTTCACGCAATCTTGATACTATCCCTCTGTTTATACAACCAAGGATTGTATTAGCTTTTTTGGCTGCTGCCACACACGGCTGGCTCATGTTTAAGTGATTGTCCATCCCGACCCCAAAGTCCCTCTTACAGTTACTGGTTTTTTTACCTGCTTTTGTTTCCATTGTGTTCCAGGACACGGATATCTTGAATACGGCTATCCTCACTGGGAAAACAGTTGCTGTCCCCGTCAAGGTGATTTCTGTTGAAGAAAACAATATGGTGATGGATATCTCTGAATCGGTGGAATGCAAGTCGTTTGCTGAGGATGTGGTTAAAGTAAGTGCTAGGATCATCAGCTATGGGAGATGTTTCATTCTTGGTTTTTGAGGAGTTTCACAGAGTTGGAAAGGTCATCTTGTAGGTCATCTAGTCAACACCCCCCTCCCCAAGCAGGAGACCCTACACCATTTCTGACAGATGGCAGCCCAGTCTCTTCTTGAAAGCCTCCAGTGATGAAGCTCCCACAACTTCCGAAGGCAACTTCTGTTCTATCAGTTGATTGCTCTCACCATCAGGAAATTTCTCCTTATTTCTAGGTTGAATCGCTCCTTGGTCAGTTTCCATCCATTATTCCTTGTCTGGCCTTCGGGTGCTTTGGAAAATAGTTTGACCCCCTCTGCTCCGGGGCAGCCCCTCAAGCATTGGAAGGCTGCTATCCTGTCTCCCCTGGTCCTTCTCTTCACTAGACCAGCCATGCCCAGTTCCTGCAACCGTCTATCATATGTTTTAGCCTCCAGTCCCCTCATCATTCTGGTTGCTCTTCTCTGCACTCTTTCTAGAGTCTCCACATCTTTTTTATAATGTGGAGTTG